CTATATGTCTAAATGACAGAGCCTTATTAGGGTTAAATACTCATAAGGAAAGTGGTAGTTTGCTAGAGATGCCTGAGTTGCATTTGTGTCTGATTTGCATGCTCATAGTGCATGTCTGACCTTCCAGAGCTCCTTTCAACCACCTGCTACGAATTAAAAGGTGCAATTCTAAAATTCTTTTCCTTAAGACTCAGAATCTGAAGAACGTTACTTGAAAATTCCCTTAGAGATAGAAAGAAAACAACAAGAAGAAAGCAGTAGTCCTTCTGCTTGTATATTATTCTGCTCAAACCTCACTCTAGATAAGAATCACTGTAGGCCTTTGGTAACAAAAACAGATGGCTCAAAGAGGACTGGATCACACAAAGTCAGACTTTGCCTGGGTGGCAGTGGAAGTATTCTTCATTGACAACCATCTGGGTTTCAACTAGATAAAATGTGATAATGCAAAATATTGCCTCATGGTCCCTATGGAGGTTTGGGTAATAGTACCAATGAAGATTCACCATGGCCATTCATAGGGAGCAACTGTATACATGTAGATGTGTCTGTGTTTATGTATGCATACATGCATAAGCATGTATGTTTATATGTATGTACATGCACATGTGTCTGTGTATATATATGTATATATGTGCATGTATATGTGTGATTATAGTATGAGTACATGCATATGTATATGTGTGTGTATGCATGGATACAGAATTATTATTATTCTTATTTTTTTTGAGTCAGAGTCTCACTTTTGTTGCCCAGGCTAGAGTGCTGTGGCATCAGCCTAGCTCACAGCAACCTCAAACTCCTGGGCTTAAGCGATCCTACTGCCTCAGCCTCCTGAGTAGCTGGTATTATAGGCATGCGCCACCATGCCCGGCTAATTTTTTCTATATATTTTTAGTTGGCCAATTAATTTCTTTCTATTTTTAGTAGAGACGGGGTCTCGCTCTTGCTCAGACTGGTTTCAAACTCCTGACCTTGAGAGATTCTCCCACCTCAGCCTCCCAGAGTGCTAGAATTACAGGTGTGAGCCACAGCACCCGGCCCAGAATGTTTTTAATTCTATTTGCTAAATGCATTTTGTGTTCTGATTACTTCCAAGCTTCCAAGGTTACTGACATAATTTAACACACAACAAAGGCCGAAGTTGTTATTTTGATTTTTTTTTTCAAAATTAAAGATGTGATTTCTAAATGAGTACAGGGGACTTTAAAGACATGAAAATTATGAATTTCAAATTCCTGAAACTTTAAAATTAAGGAAAAGAGGGTGAAATCCTAGACATAAACTCCTGTTTTCAGGTGTTTGCAATGTGAACACATTTATAAGGCATCCAAGATCCACATTTTTCCCCTAAGGCCTTGAGTCATAAGACACTATCACAGGCAAAGGCAGTTTCTCTGCCAGCCCTCATTTCACAGAATGCAGGTGTAGCCCTGTGTAGGTAACTCTATGGGAGAGGCAGGAGGGTCCGGCTTCTCTGGGCCTCTTTATTATAAACAGAGTAGACTTTTAAATAAACCAAAGCCTTAATTTCCAGAAAGATAATCACAGGCATGGAAAGGAAGGTTAGTCTGAAATGCTAATTTTAGGACTGTGAATCTCAGCAGCATCTTTTTAATATTGTAGCACACACTGCTGTTTCAGGGCCTCTTCAAGGTCTATTTAAATATATTAGGATTCAAAGAGCTCCCTGTTTCCTTAGAGTTAAAATCATGCTGCTAACAGTACCATTTCAGTTCCTTTTGTTGCTCTCTGTACACCTCATAGGGCCCTTTTTAAAACCTCTGCACGCTAGGCCAAGAACAATCTGGCGGTCATGGCTCAGATACCATTTAATTTCCTTCTCAAACTGTCTTGTTTTATATAAGTTGACCTTTTCATGACTGTAAAATTTCCTCATTAGAAAATGACAGGCTCCCTGGGATTAGAAAACTCTCCTGGTAACACTCTGCATAAAGGTATCTGTGTAAGATTTTTCTTACGTAGAAATGAAAAGAGACCCCTCACTCTGTTCCACTAGTGGGATTCAGAGCCTACAGACAGTCCATTTGAATTTTGTTAAAAAACAAACAAACAAACAAAAAAACCCTTACTTGGGGTACTGGTGGAGCTGAGGTTGGAGATGGATGGAAGATCTGATTTTAAGAAGCTAAGAATAATTACTGACTCTATTTTTAAAGCACCCATTACCTGTTAGGCACTTAACATGTGCCATTGCTAGGATTTCCTACAGCTCTGCAGGGTGCTTATTACAGTTGAGGAAACTTGGATTCAGAAAGGTCCAGAAGCTTGCCCAAGGTCATCCAGTCGGTGAGTGGCAGAGCTGGGCTTTAAACCTGAGTCTGTGTGGCTTTGTTCTTTCCACTGCATCATTCTGCCTCTAGGGACAATATCTCCTCAAAAAAGAAATGCCAGATTGACATGCTGACACATTATATATTATAATTATATAATATATATTATTATATATTAACAATATATATATTATATTAAATATTTATATTATATTAACAATATTTGTTTGGATTGGAGAACTACTCAGACCTCGGCAATTATAGTACTGTTACTACAGTACCAGCTCTGAGACAGGCTGTAGGATTCAAACCTTCACGTGGCCCCCGGCTGGCTGTGGGATTTGGGGCTGGTCGCTTCTCTGGAGTTAGGTCTCTTGAACTGTAACATGTTGGTAATGACAATAATACTTTCCTCATAGGGTTGCTGTGAGTATTCAATGAGAAAACACTAGCATAATGCTCTTGTGTAATCAAACAAGGTAGCTATTATTATTACCAAAATTGTATAGAAATGATGCTGTCTCCCTTACCCCATTTTATAAGACAGAATTTGGGGAGTAAATTGTGCCTTGCTAGAAACCTCAACTAGCACCAAATAGATAAAGAAGGCTGATGTATACAACTTGCCAACAGTGGAGGGCATTGCGACAAGACACAGGTCCGACAGGAGAGCCAAGGCTGTCACATCCCATTACTCAGGAGCCCTGACTTCATGCTGACTCAGCCAAAGGCAGGCAGTGCTCACGGCCAAGTTTATATGCTCAGAATTGATGTGGCCATATTTCCACACTCTCAAAAGCAAAGTCAAGAGCGAAAAGGGTGATTGGAAAGTTTTTATGGGCCTAATCATGAAAATGCTGACAGCTCCAGCTTATTGATTTACCTTTAGTTAACCTCTGTAATTTGAAGTGATCGCCCAGCCAAAAATGAAGGTTGTATCAGGGGAATCCCTTTTGTCTTTTGGTCATTTTGGGACAAAGCCTTTGTCAGTTCTTCTTTGTCCTATAGAGACTAATTGATTTGAAGTGATGGTAAGTGTTCAGATGAGATTTCTAGAGGACATTTATCTGCGTGATCCCAGACAATTAATATTGTTTATGTTAATTTTGTGATCGCCTCAGTGCATCAGAAATACAGAAGAGCATGCACTGCAGCAAACAGCAACATTTTCAATCATCTTTTTGTATTTCTAATTGCAAAAATAAATTAGAAGACATGTATTTGACTGCAATTCTGAGCCAGAAAATCTATCTTTTTTTTTTTTTATATATAATGGTACTAATTGTGGTTGTCATGGAAACCCTGAAGGCACTTAGACTGAATTACCCAATCTATTTTTTTTCTCTGTAAGTGATTATTTCTTTGGCTGATATTGAAGTTCCTCCTCTACAAAGCTATTATACATATGCTCACAAGACATTTACTCTAAGTTAAGATGCTCGATAAATCTGTTACACCAATTATATTTGTGCTGTGGTTATGAAATCAATTTGTTTGAAATGTAAACTGATCACCTAGAAAAATGAATAAACTAGTTGGCTGTTTTTTTTTTTTTATTTTTCTGAAAGTAATGACATAACACCTAAGATGATCTGGGGGGAAAAGGTGCTTATTTTTAAAATTTTGGTGGTTTTAAATTTCCATTAGCATGCTTTTATTTTTATTTTTTTGTCTTTTTTCAGTTTTTATGTGTATGCTTTTAAAATGTCATTTTGTTGTGACTTTTTGAAAAATGTAAAAATCATTTTAAAGAATCATGTCTCCTTGTTAATGCTGTTGGTAGATTTCATGGGGAACAAAGATATTCATGGAGGATATACATACAGAGGAGAAAGCCTTTGAGTCGTATTGTTTTGAATAAAACATTACACTCACCATTTATTAATTGTGGGCACTTAACCTGGGTTTTAGTCCATGTGTAAAATGAGAGTCATAACTTCATTGGGTTGTTACAAAGATGAAATGTAACTATACATGTTATGTTCCCAGTCACAGTGCCAGTTGGATAAAAGATGTTCTAGAAATTTTACTATTATTCTAGTCTAAGTCTCCCTAATCACACTCTCTTCCTACACTTCTTCCCAGAGACTCACCCCTATGTTCCTGCATTGATATGTTCGGATCAAAGGGAGAGAATGTTTGGTTGGCAGAACCTCAGTGAATTTTTAGTGTCCTTTTAGCATTCCTGTGACAGACAGGCAATGTCTCTGGGCAAGCCTGACCTGGAAAAAGAAGCTTTCACAAAGATTTTAAAAATGTTCATCATGAGAACTCCCAACTACTCTTTCAAGAAGTTTACTCTCCTCCCAGTATCCACTTGATTGGATGATTGGGTTGGGGCAGGGAAAGAACTCCTTAGGAGCAATAGTTTGGTCTTTGTGTGTGTGAGTTTAAGAATTTTACAACCATTTTTGATGTAAAGATACAGTTACTTCTTCAGTGCATTACACCTATGCAAAATCTTCATTCTTGGGATCATGAAGTACATTCATGGCTCTGGTAGCATATTGTATCTAAGACAGTCTTAGGAGTCTGTCTTACCCAATCTTCCCTACTATATATTTGGTTTATATTATGAATCTTATTTTAATAAAAGCAAGTATAGAGAGTAAATTCAGTTTGTGTTCCTAATGTACCTTGTATATGCCTCAATTATAGCACTTACCACATGGCATTATAATTGTTTACATGTATTATCCCCCATAGATTAAACAATTTACAGATGACTGCACTCTGGAAAAAACAAAACAAAACAAGCAAAAACTTGACATCTCCAGCATCAAATAAGGTTAGACTTTTCATTCATTCAGTGATTATTTGATGTCTGTTATTTTCCCACATGCTGGGCTAACTCTTGGGATTTGGTAGTGCATGTAGCAGATACATCTTTCTTTCTTGGGCTGTGCAGCTTGCATCTGCAATGGTGGAAGCTAAGTGCTGTGAGCAGTGAACGAACTTCCAGGTTTGTGAGCACTCAGAGGCTTTCTAACCCACCAGGGACTGTATAGGAGTCAAGTCAGGCTTCCTGAAGGCAATGACTTTGAAGCAGAGAACTGAAGATCTGTAACTTGGGAAACAGGCATAGGGACAGTGTACCAGAGGGAAAAGCAAATGTAAATCGCTACAGTCAGGCTAAAAGACTGTTTTTTTTGCATTCCTCTGTCTACACTTTCCTCAGGAAGAATCTTAAGTACTCTATGAAACATGCACTGGTGACATGGCTTTGCTGTTGGTCTATAAGGGATTGCACTTTGTAAATGAACAGTAGGATCAGCAGTTTAGATCTATGTTTTATAGGCTGTGGTGACACCTCTGATAGGTCCTGATTGTGCAGCCTTTCAAGATGACTTTGAAGCAACATATCCCCCACCCAGCACATCCCAGAAGGGAGCCTTTGGGAGCAAAACAAAGACACCCTCTGAGGTCACTTCGGGATTTCAGTTTGCTTGTCTGTTACTCCAGACTTCAAACACATTTTGGTTTCTCAAGGGGCTGCTTATTCAAATGCTAGTTAGGCAAGGATTAAACTAATTATCCAATATTTTAAATAAGGTGTAAGTGAGGTGTCCAGAATTAAGGAACTTGTAGAACACAGCATGGACTTTGGAGTAAGTGACAGAAATCTGGTTCTGCCTCCTGACCCCTTCTCTTCTGGTCTAGATAACCTTCAGCATGTTTTTATTTTCATCAGTGAAGCAGGGAGAAGACACCTTCCCAGAGGGCTGTCGGGAAAATGAAGTTGAAGTGATGTTCATTACCTGTTTGACACCATGCCTGGCATTGTCAGCAAGTGATAATTAGAAATTTGAGTAATCTTCAGAAGCCTCAGCAACACTATTTTTCTCCCTGTAATTTTTAAAAATAGCTTTATGGGAACATAATTTACATATCATAACATTAATCCATTTTAAGTGTATCATTCCATGAATTTTAGTACATTTGGAGTTGTGCAATTAGCACCACAATCTAATTTTAGGCCATTCCCATCATCCTAGAAAGAAAATTTTGGATTTTCTTTTTTATGTCTATGAATTCCAAATTATGTTCAGGAGATATTCTATTGAAGTACTCAAGGTAATCATCATATTAATATTTACTTAATGATCACAGGTTGCCATATCTCATGATATTGTGATAATTGTAATTAATAATGTTAATTTTTTAAGAGTATTACAACTTTTGATAACTCACTTGGCTATATACTCTTGATGTAGTACAAACTAACCACTGTATTTTAGTTATATGGCTAAATATATTAGTACTTTTTAGTAGTCAGTTATTTTAAAGACATCCACTGATAGCTTTCTTCCAATTTCTTTTCAGATAATACAGGGGGCATCACCCACAATATTTGTAGATATTGTTCAGAAGTATTGAAATAATTTGATTGTTTTGTACAAATAACATTCCATAGTGACAAGTAGCAGTTATTGAAATAAACAAATTAAGTAAACAGCCTTGTCATGAAATTTTCATGAAAAAAACATGTGTTTTCTTATTTAAGTGTTGTTAGGAAAGGTACTCATTGAAATATCTTGAATATATTACTAGAAATTCTCTGGAAAAGGGCAGACACTTGTTGAGAAGCTATGGGATCAGACTCTACATCCAGACTGTGGTTCAAACCTAATCCACCCAGTTACTAGCTGTGGGATGGGAAACAAAATCCCTTAACTTTTTGGGCCACCGTGTCCTACTTGTCTATAAAATAGAGGTGATGATAGCATCTTCTATCTCATAGGGTTGTGGGGATTAACCTATAATATATGTAAAGCAAATTAGTTCTGCGCCTGGTATATATTAATAGTAAGAGTCTAATAAATGATTGCTGGACTTTTATGGAGTTGCAGGCTCCCAGGGAATTGATAAAGGAACAATTTTTTTTAAGTTTAAGAACAAAGGGGATGACTTCATATTAGGAAAATTGTAAATGTAGGAGAAGAATTTTCTTTCACCATTAGTAGGGAATCAAAAAGCCCCCCTCTGACTGAAAAATGTCAGTCTTTAATGAACTAAACAAAAATAAACACTGGTGCATGTTTTCTGTTGCATAGAGACAGAACTATTGTGTTGTAATCTGATTTTGTTCTTTAGCTATGAAGAGAAGAGAGGAGATAGAACAAAGAAATAGCAGACCTTGCCAGGAGAAAGCCTCCTAGATGACATTGGATGGCCTTTCCTTTACTTAGGTTTATTGATGCAGAGACGGGATCATCCACCTGCAACTGAGCCTGAAAAATGCCACAGTAGTCACGAGAGGCTGGAGACCTTGACTGGCAGGTTAGATGTCAACCTTACTCATGGCCCTATCATGGGTGGTGTGTAGTTGGGGACAAGGATATTAACACAAAAATCAGTGAATCCAAAACAAATGGGATGACCTGCTTGCCAGAAATCCTCAGGTAACATGGTTACTTGTAGGATTGAATGAAGGGGTGATCTTGACTAGGTCTGATGCCTGGTGATTTCCAGGGAGGCTGGAGATAGAGGCTTGAGCAGTAACTCAAATTAAAGATGGTGTTATAAATGGGGAATGAAAACTACAGGAGACCATGAGGCAGGCTGACACCATGAGAGGCCAGGAAACTGGAGTCTGCAGACACAGGGCTGCATCACCCCTAGTTGGTTGGTCTTTCAGTCTTTTCTGGCCTTTCCCACCATAAGGTGGACCTTCTAAGCCCCAGAGAGTCTCAAGCTGCCTGCCAGAGAAAGTTTATTATCCATTGATATCCATTTGATATTCCTCAATTTTCCTGCTGGTTAGAGCTGGAGCTGTCTCTGAAGGCTTGATGGAGGCTGATTTCCCACGATCTGGTAGCTTCCCCTGGGAGGTGGGCTGGTGCCAGGGCTAAGGGCTCTCTTAGACTTTTAGCTCATCCCTGAAAGGGGCTTTGAAATGAAGCAAGGTGAAGAGACTAAACACAACTTTTACAAAACCTAGGAGGGATTAATGCTTACAGACCTAAACTCTGAAAGATGCAATCAAATCTGAAAAACAGATAATTGATTTCAAAAGGCCAGTATAGATATGTGAAGTGGTAGTAGAAAGTATACTCAAAACATTTATTCTTTTTTTTACTTATTTATATACAAACATCATTGGCCTTCTGGGAGTTTAAGAAGACTTAGACATAATCTGCATTCTCAATGAGTTTCTGGTCTAGATCAGGGGTTGGTAAACTGTATCTGGCAGGTCAAATCCTACCTGTTGACTGTTTTTGTAAATAAAGCTTTATTGGAAAACAGACAGCCATGCCCATTTACTTACCTATCAACTATGGCTGATTTCCTGCTTCAAAGACAAAGTGTAGTTCTAACAGAGATGGTATAACTAGAAAAGCCTGAAATATTTACCATCTGGCCTTTTACATAAGAAGTTTGCTTCAGACATAGTTGGCAGGATGAATGGATAAAGAAAATTGTGGTATATATATGCAGTGGAATATTATTCAGCCATAAAAAGGACACAATCCTGCCATTTGCTACAACATGGATGAATCTTGAGGGCATTATGCTACGTAAAATAACCAAAGAAAAATACTATATGATCTCACTTCTAAAAAAGTCAAACTCCTAGAAACTCCTAGATTGGTGTTTGAACACATGCAGGGTCAGCATTTTGGGCTTATCTAGTATGCCCAACTGCTTCTCCAAGGAAAGGGGGAGGAGATGAGACTGAATATTTACCCAAGAAAGACTGAGTCAGTCATGAAAGTGACTCAGTTGCAGTAATGGCAAGTTGAGAAGCAGTTTGAAGATAAAATTCTCAAAATAGGGAGCTAAGGTTATGTATTTACTATACTTGAATCTATAGCTGTAAAGACTAATATCTGCTACAAATGTCAGTCCTGAATTTTCCATTCAGGTTGTTATATGGTAATGCCAGAATTGTTCACCTTTCATAAACCAGAAGTCAGGGGGTAGAGAGAGTTCACTCGGAGGAAATGCCTGTTCTCTGAGCTTGACATTGACAGGTATACATAAGGTTGTATGGCTGTTAAATGTTGATGGCTATTAAATATGCCACTTGGTAATTTAATGTGTTCACTGTGTCTTAGTACCTTGATCAGCTCACCTGTGCTCCATCCCAACTCCTACTAGAAGAGGTTTCATGGGCTGATGTAACAGGAGTTCCCTCAATTACTGTGTATATGTTCCCTGATGTTCTTGCTTTACATTCGCTAGCTGCTTGCCTGTGCTTAAACCTGAGCAGCGTTGCTCAGTTGCATGCCATAGAATGAACCAGGCAGGCATATGTCTGTTGCAATAAATTCTGGATTTGAATGATGAGACCAAATGTCTGGAAGGGAACTGGAGACTATCTGAAATGGATTAGTTGCCCTAGAAAACAGTATTGGGGTTCTTTGCAGAAGAACATGGGATTTAGGAATATATCTAAAACAATTTTTTTTCCTACAGTATTTTGCAGAAAAGTTCAAATTCCATTTTGCCTTTGCTTATTCTGAAATGGATGAATAGGTTTCCTTTTTCTTTTTTCCCAGGTTTTATCTGAAACCTTGGAGTAAAAGGATTTAAAGGAGGGCTACCTAATTGCTGTTAATACATTATGATATTGCATTTATTCTGTTTGATGTTATAAATTTACCAAGAAAGGTAGAAGAAGGGAGAAGTCTGACAAACATTCCTAGTCATAGGGAAATTTTCCTAGAGGATTGGTGAGGTAGTGAGAAAAAAAAGATGATGCGATGGATAGCAAAATATTGCTGAAGCACTTTATATATTCCTTCTTCTCCAACCACAGCCAATAATCTTGTGTATTTTTTTGTTTTCAAAAAACTTTTAATTATAGGTAATGGAAGAGTTGCCATATATATATATCTAAAGGTTATTATTATTTATAGTTTTTAAGAAAGATCATACAACTCTAAATATTTCAAATATTATTTTCATATTATACTTTTTAAAGTTTATTTGATGTTTTTAACTTTTAGAAAATAAAAGTATTTTTATTTTTAGACAATTTTGAAGATGTGGAAAAGTAAAAGAAAAAATTATCTATAATTTTCCCTCACAAACAAATACTGGTAACATTTTGGTAGGTGCATATATGCTTATTATGTTTTATATGTTTGAACTTTTACTTCATGTTCAATTGAATATCCTACATTTTCACAAGAAATTTTTTGAACTTTTACTTATGGTATTATAATTTTACAGTTGGATTGTTTCTGATTCATGGTACTATAAATAACATGAAGGTAAGCATTTTTTGTTATGAATCTTTGCGCATGTACCTGTTTATTTCTTTAGAATAGAGTTCTGGGAGGAATTCCTGAGTCAGAAAGATAAAACATTTTAGGGTTGTTAATGTAGCTTGCCAAATTTCCTTCTAGATTATTTGTGATAATTTAATACTTTTGTTAGCATTGAGTGTTATTTTTTCTAATCTCTGACAATTTAATATATAAAAACTGAATTGTGTAGCTTTGTTTTTCTATCTTTCATTGCTAAAGAGGCTTAATACTTTCACATTTTATGTTAGCTCTTCTGTGAACTGTCCATTCATGACCTTCAGCCACTTTCCTCCTGATGATTCAGGAATTTTCTTACTAATCATATATATTTTTATAGGATATTGGTGGAGATCAAATCAACGTCTTTAGGACAATGAGTAGGCATAGGTATCTCAAACCTGTCTTGCCAGGTGATCCCTGCCCTCCTTTCTTCCTTTAGTTCTTCTGCAAAATGGTCACTATCATTTGCTATCATCTATCATTTCTTTATATATTTCCAATGCTTTCAGATGGTATCTTGCATTCTCCTTTTTTCTTAGAATGATTTGTAGTGTCAGCTTATGATTGGGCCAAATTTAGAGTTGGACTATTTGAGCCTATCCTTACTTCATATATAGGACTTAGGTGCTGTTAATGTTCTCATATTTGATTTATGGATCCTGAATCTTGAACATATTGGATTGTGAAAAATTTCCTGGGCCACAGCCATGGGAGAATATGTTGATTAAGAATGGAGTTCTAAAAGCTGACTGGCGGCTGAGGGGCTTGGGGCAGAAGAAAATGACCACTGGATGTGAAAATGATCCATGCTCCTCATAATGTAATGAAAGCAGAGTTGAACGGGGAGGTGGACATTTGTTTCATCTGAACCAGTGGTTCTCAGACTTTAGCACACATTGGCATCACCTGGAAGGCCTGTTATTAATACAAAACAGGTGCTGGGCCACATCCCAGAGTGTCTGATTCTGGTGTGGATCAGGTGATGCCAAAGATTCTGATCTGGGAACCACACTTTGAGACCACTGATCTAAACTATCCGAGAACTGAGCTTGAGACAAGACGTTACCTTTTTTCATGGTGCAGACCCATATCACAAGACATATAAATTCTAAAATCTTACCAACTAGACTGGTATCCTCCGGGAGGCCAAAATTACTGGGAGAGTGTGGGGGTCCAGCAGGGATATCACATTACCTCCAGGGGGTGCCATGCCCACGTGAATGCCTGCTCTTGAAGTTGCCTTGTGCATAAGGTATCTGGCCACGCGCAGAGAGGCCCTGAAGTCTGGTAGTAGAAATAATTTTTCTTTCTTATATCTGAATGTTGCTTTTAAACATGAGAAGTCCTTCTCCTTTTTTTCTAAGAGTTTCCTATCCCCAATCCAAAGATCAAATTTATTGTCAGCTATGTTTTCTTCTGTTTTTAATGAATTCTCTGGGTTTTTTTTAAACACTTTAATTGTAGATAAAGTCAAGTTCTGTTCATGTATTCTGTGAGGTGATGATTAAAATGGCATATTGTTTTGCTAAATGACAATTTTCTTAACACTTTTTGAATAACACATTTGTTTTTTCTTTGATTGATAATGCTATCTTTCTCATTAGATGGTGTGTAGATGTGCATTTATATTCTGATACTATTTATACTGCCTTTAGTGTGCCAGTTCATTCATCCTACAAATGCTTACTTTGTTCCAAGCACTGTGGAGGTACCAGGATGAATTAAAGAGTCACAAATAAAACATATGTAGATTCTGCCTGCATGGAATTTACCATCTCAGTAGTCTGTTCCATTGTTCATTAATCTACTCTTGTTCAGGTATCACACTTGTTTTAATTGCTGTAGCTACAGAACACATTTTAATTTGTGGTAAAAAAAAAATCTTCCTCATTGCCATTTAAAAAAATTCTCGGTGATCCTTGTCTATTTATTCTTCTAAATAAACCTTAGAATAACCTTGTAAAGATTCAGAAAAGGAATAAAAACCCTTTGTGACTTCGATAGGAGTTGTCTTACAATATGTAT